TCTGTTACCTGCCTTCGCGTATGAGCCATGTTTGCTGGTTTTAGTCATTTCTAAGTGGTTCTGCTGGTGCCACTGCAGTGTCACGCTTTGGTGTTGCTATTCTGATTGACACGTCGGGGCATTTTGTCTCTAATTAGGCATTATCTGTCTGTCTCTAGCTGTCCGTCTGGCTCCGGTTTCCACCTAGTATTTCTTGCACGATTTCTCGCCAAGTGGCCCAGATGTCTCGAAAAATGGAATGTTGAATGAGATCCAGAGTCGCTCCTCTGATTGTCGTCGGGCTGAAGGGCTGTGAAGGCGGTGGTTGTGTTTAGGCTGGAGCTCGAGCGAGGCTGTTTCTACATGAGGAAGGTCGAAAATGCTGGCAAAAGCTGATCAGTCCGTCAGTCATGGGGTGCGATGGTATGCAAGAGCCATTATTATCCCTTTTTTTTTTTTTTTTTTTTTTTTTAAGGAAAGTGTTGTTGAGTGGAAAGTTTACATTTAGTAGCATGATTATCACGGGTCCGTTATTATTAATTTGAGAAATATTATTTTGTTGCTTCTTGATGTAGTCCTTTTTTTCTTTATTTTTTACTTAAGAGATGCAAAACAATAAGTATTAAGAGAGAAGGCCCCATACTTCGCCACAGCATAAGGAGTTTTTAAGTGTCTGTAACGCGATGCTCGGGTCAAGGCAGCCCAATTCTCACGCCTGAATGTTGACAGCGGGCTCGGGGTCTGCAACGTGAAGGGGGTGGCATACACATTGTTATTCCCTGCATGCAACCTGTCGTACTTGATCAGTGGATGGTATGTCGGATATCTGTAAGCTGCATGGTTGTTTCTTACGTGTCAAGTGCGGGGGGTGATTTGTGTGTGACTTTGCCTCTGTATTGGGAAGCTTAAGGACCTCACAGATTCATCTGTCTCATATAGTTCGACATCAGACCAGATGTTTTGCCTGGTTAACAGTTTTCCCCTTAGCTTAGAGTCGGCTAGGAAGTGTGGACATTGGCACTCGGATGTACTCGGCCGCGTCCGGGTCTTGTAGAATCGCGCTGGGCAGAGGTGTAGCGGAGAATGGCCGGGCATGAGCCATCCCCGACTGAAAAGTCACCATCCGGGCGTGCCTGAGCGGGAGCATTGCCCTTAAGTGCCTTGATTTTGCTTTATTGGAGGCGAGGGTTGGCGGTCAGCTGTTGAAACATGGTATTCAGACGGATCTACGAGAGGCTCGAGGGGCTGGACTCACGGCTAAACGGTCCTTTGAGCGCCAGCCCTCGCACCCAAGACCTGTTACTACCTCTTGCCAGTCCCTCCCAGCGTCCCGATTCCTGACGTCGTTAAACCCGTGGCCCGTAGATTCCGTCCTTTTCATTTACTTATTTGTTAGTTTGTTTACTGCTACAACTATTCCCCACGCTATGTCATGTTGGAATCATGCTATTCCCCTCCCCTCCTGTTGGCCAAGGGGGATACTTTTTATCGCACCCCTCGTCCCCTTCCATCCCCCCCCCCATCCTCTTCCCCTTTCCTCTTCCCCTTTCACTCTACGAAACGACAACCAGGATGGCACAGCGTGGCCATGAGGGTGGCTGGGAGGGTGGTCGACCAAGTGAGAGAAGGAGAGGTTGCAGGTGGCAGTGGCCAGTCATAAATGACGTCAGGGACTCGCCGACATTTCAGTGAATAAATGCCATTTAAAGGTCATAATAAAATAAGTCAGACTCGTTGGTATGGCTGTTTGTTTGATTTGTTTGCGGTTTTGGTCATGAAAGGCAGAAAGGCAAAAGATCACTCGGGCCTTTTCCTAGGTTTTCTTTGTTTGTCATCTCTCCTTCTCCATTCGTATGCTGTCTCAGATCTTTGTCACAAGAGGGAAATGAAGACCACATTAGAACATTGTGGGTTAAATGGCGTCTTTATAGGGGACCCAGATTAAAGAGCGTGTCCCCATAGGAGTGTCCGTGCAGTAATCCTTTGCGTGCCATCGGCTGGGCGTGGCGACGGTGACTGCGAGGCGTCCCAGAAGGGACGGCCAGGACGCTGGTTTTGCCAGTTGCATCAAGTTCCTTCCCCACTTCCATTGTGATGGAACCATGGCGGGGAATCTAACGCTTCCTGCACCATTGTTTTGCGGGTACTGGCTGGGAGCAGGGGGAGGGGTATAATACTCACCTGCAGCAATTTAAGCCACGTGAAGCACCGAGAAACCTGAAGGGAGTGCTGAGGGGTTGTTCCTGGACGCTTATGGTGGCGAGCGTGGATGCTTGTCCTCTCGGCCGCTCGGAAGGGTGAGGGGGGGGGGGATAAGGAAGAGGGATTTGTCTTATGCAAGATTGTGATTGTATTAGTCTTGATGTATGTATTTGTTTGTGTTGGTTTCTGTATGTGTCCATGTGGACCCAGTGTGCCAGCATGTATGAGATTTACGCATATGGATATGAGCACGTCAAGTTATGAATTACAACCATTCCGTTGTCATGTATTGGTTTTGACGGCTTTCGTTTTTCCTCAGAGTAAGCCCCAAGATGAGTGACGGGGTAGTAAAGCAGGAGCCGGCGGCAGCTCATGGCATGAACGGCACAGCGACACAGGAGGAGGAGGTGCGGCTCATGACTGAGGAGGAGCTCGAACGCGAGAAGATGAGACCTCCGGACATCGACCAGGACATGAAGGTAATGCCTTTTAAAATTATATTTTTATTAACCCCCTCGTTGGACGCGCGTATAAGTTTATATGTTCTGTACTTGACCCTTATACTTATTTTTGTATATTTTTCAATTCCTTACTTGACTAGATTTTGATTGAATTATTGTTATTTGTGGAACACTTATCAAGTTAGTAAGAAGTGTCCTTCCAACGCCATATTCCCCCCTCTCCCTAGGAAATGGAGCGCCGGAAACGAGTGGAAGCGATAATGAACTCAACGATATTCCGCGAGGAGCTCGAAAAGATCGTGGAGACGCAGATCTCGGAGGGGTACTCGGGCGTGCAGGCCATCCAGAACATCTCCGAGATGATGGGCTTCCCCACCACCCGCGTCGGTGTCTTCAAAGGTCGGCATAGGGCCTTTGGTTGATGAATTATATTTCAATATTTTAACTTGAATAATTAGAATTTTGGTTAAATTAATAATTCTTTCTCATATTTAGTGTTATCATATCTTGCCTGTGTTATTAAAGGGAAAGATTTTTAGATGTACTATGATCATTATTATTTTTTTTTTTGTAGCAATTTTATTACACCGTAATCTTTTCATTACATGTGAAAGTTACAGTGCAGCATTTCTATACTAAACTTTTCTTCTTTTTAGGTAGTAATTGTGTTATTCCTATCAATGACATTCGTGGGATGGAGAGCCTGAGCTTTGCTAAAGGAGAGAAGCTACTACGTTGCAAGCTGGCTGCTATTTACAGACTTATTGACATGCATGGCTGGACACAGAGCATTTATAACCATTGCACTGTGAGTATACTTCTGTGACTAATATGATGATGATAATGATTGTTATTGTTATAGTTATTATAATAATAATAATTATTATTATTGTTATTATTATTGTTACTATTATTGTTGTTGTTGTTATTGTTGTTATTATTATTATTATTATTATTATTATTATTGTTATTTGTTTATTTTTTATTATTATTACTACTACTACTACTTCTACCACACTATTACCATTGTTGCTATTAATATTTGATATTATTATTATTTCTATTTTTATTATTACTTTTTGATTGATATATTAGATTGCTCAAATATCTTAGATGGACTGATTCATTACTTCTCTGTTTTTGGATAGTTTTTATAGATATTAATATAAGGAGAAAATCTATTATAGAATTCCCCACTCTACCTTGGCAGGCCCGACTAAGCCAGGACACGGAACACTTCTTGCTGAACCCCTTTGGCATGCTTTATCATGAGGTGACAGCAGCCTCTCTGGTGAAGGTGGACATGCAGGGCAATGTGGTGGACAGTGGTGCAACCAATTTTGGTGTCAATGTTGCAGGCTTCATGTTGCACTCGGCCATCCATGCTGCCAGGCCAGATTTAAAGTGTGTCATTCATTTACATCATCCAGCTGTTGTTGCGGTATGTGTATAGCATTTGCTGATTTAGTGCTTGTTTTGAAGCACATCTTGAATTTGAATTATTAGATTTCTGCATTGTGTATAATTATTATTAGTGATATTTTGGGAAAGGGTATGATCTTTACAATGGCTCCTCCCCAGGTCTCGGCCCTGAAGCAAGGTCTGATGCCACTGTCACAGGAAGCATTGTTGATTGGTGAGGTGTCTTATCATGACTACCAAGGCATCTTTGTTAATGCTGAAGAGAAAGAGAAGCTTGCACGAAACCTCGGACCTGTTAACAAGGTAAACTTTCGGGATTTTTAGTTTTTATCTTATTTTTTATTTTTATTTATTTTTTTCTTCTTTTTTTTTCTTTCTTTCTTATTTTTCTTTTTTCTTTTTTTTCTGGTATCAGGTATAGAATATGCATTCTAACCAACTGGTAGGCTTTAATAGCCCTATCATTTTCAAGACAATTTCATATGGTTATATCAGAAGAAAAAACCCTTGGATCTGGGAATGAGATGTCAAGGGAGAATTTGGCTGATGTTAGGACGATGGGAATTACTCTCCATAAGTGCACAAAACTCGGGAAAGGTGATAAAGTCTTATTGGTCTTAGTGTATGTGAATGAAAAGGGGCTTGTCTGGAGGGGTTATTGTGGAAGGTAGATTCGAGACCCCCAAGAGACCCTTATCTCCCTGGGTGTCTTCTCCTCTGTCACTTTCTGTCTCTGTCTGACGATACTTCTCCTTTTATGTGGCGGCTCATCTTGCGGCAGGTACTTGTTCCTTCCCACTTGAATGTTAATAGTGAAAGAATTGTGCAGATGTTGCATCTGCTCAAGGGTAAGCTTTCTGCAGGAAGGTGACTCCTAGGGACAGGTGTGTGTAGCCTACCATTTGACCTTGTTGTATATTGTTTAAGATGGTGACA